CTGCTCGGGGCCCGGCTTGAGTAGGCAGGTGAGATATGTGAAGGCCAGAGGCAGTGCCCCCACCCGTCGGCTCCATCCAGGCTCTGCACCGCCTTATGGATTATACTCAAAGGATCAGAGGCTGGACTGTTTGAACAGAGAGCCGGTCCAGACTTCCTGTGTCGAGGTCCTGGATCCAAAGACGGACATTAAGTCCAGAATCTCTCGTCTTTCTTTCAGTAGTAATTTTCCCCGTCCGGTCACAGTGCTGCTGCTCAGCAGCTCTCACTGTAAACTCATTGGTGAAATGTGCATCATGCACCGGTGCCAGTGTGTTTCCTCCCAGTGCTGCATCGATGACTGTGTGTGCTTCTGTGTGAGCACTGGTGCTGTTCGTCGTTGTCAGCTCCGCCTCCTCTAACATGTTTGATGTTTCCTCTGGGACTTTAAAGCCGGTGTGGAACACGGCACGTGTACTGCAGACACTTTGCTCCATGTTGAGGAACTCAAGAATGTCCTGGAACAAGACACAAAGCTTTAGCAGGTTTTTGAGTTTAACAAGTAACAGTTGTGTGAACTGAGTAATCTCCACTCAGTTATACTTCCATGTTATACATTGACTGTATGTGGCGTCGTGTTTGCTGCGTGTGTTTCAGGCGTGGATGTGGTGCTGAATTCTCTGGCCGAGGAGAAGCTGCAGGCCAGTGTTCGCTGCCTCGCTCGACACGCACGATTCCTGGAGATCGGCAAATATGACCTTTCCAACAACACTCCTCTGGGTCAGTGGATGTGGTGTTTATTGACAACAGGATAGATAAATATATAAACATGTTTTATTACTTTTTTTAAGGTTCCTGCAGGTGTTAACCAGAGTTTTGTTGTCATAAATGATTCTTGAAGCCTTGACAAACGCTGTCACGTTGCTGTGATTCCTTCAGGCATGGCGTTATTCCTTAAGAATGTGGCTTTCCATGATATCCTGCTGGATGCTCTCTTTGAAGAGGGCAACCAAGAGTGGGAGGAGGTGTCCCAGTGTCTGCAGCAGGGCATTGTGGGAGGAGTAGTTCAGCCTCTGAGAACCACAGTGTTCGATAAGGACCAAGTGGAGCAAGCATTCAGATACATGGCTCAGGGCAAGCACATCGGCAAGGTCCTGGTTCAGGTGAGTGAGGTGTTTGTACTG